CGACGCGATACGACTAGCGATACGGTCGGAGAAAAACAGACGCGAGCATTTTCGGCTATGCGGGCCACTATGTGGCCGTGATATTCGTAATATGCCAACACCGCGGGCTTCTTATCGGGTCGCACGATTGATCCGTCCTTCAAGGCGACAGAGGAGGCGCGATCGAGATCCAATGCGATCCCTATCTCATCCCCTTCCTCCGATCATCCCCCATCGAGTCACGCCTATGGAATTTCATCGGGAATCCCGATCGGCCCGTATCGTAACACGCAGTCAATTTGTATGCCCGCGCATACGTACGTACGTGGGGCATGTAATACATGGTATAATACACGCGACGAATCCGCGCTATCAGAAAATACCCCAGGGCTATACACACAGGCCGCCCTGTGTGTGTGTGTGTGTGTGTGTGTGTGTGTGTGTGTGTGTGTGTTGTGTATGTATGTGCGTGGCTCTGTCATCCACGACGGCACCCACCCGAGTTACCATGGGTTATACCCTGGAAATGAGGACCGGGAATTATGCAGAACAGATCGATGTAATCGTAATCGCTATTGATTAATTCTACGCGAAATTCGATGTAGACAGAGTAATCTTCCGATTAAATCCGACCCCCGCCTATCGCCGTTCTAGATAATTTTTAGTCTTAGCTTCCGATGGTCCAAAGTACACTGGTAATGTAACATGTCGGGATCTAATTACTGAACCTTTCAAACTTTCCGCGCCGAGACGTTGCTTTAATTAATAGCAAATTTTGAAAGATAAAGTTGCGCGCGCGTAAAGTGGCGTTAATTAAAATTGCCCTCTTGCGGAGGGATCTGTTGATTATAATAATTCTCCCCCTTTTTTTTAAAAGCGCCACCACACATAAACGAGAGCTTAACGGAATTTGCGGTGCTCGGCCGAAGGTCTGAGTCTTCATTTCGTTACGCAAATGAAGATGTCAGCTCGCTTAGCATAAATAAAACAATGCAGGCGACGGTAAAAGACGAAAAGCCAGATAGTCACGTATGCGAGACAGTCAGGTGATTCGACGCGCGTCGTAAACTCGTCGTTGTGCATCCGAACGGATACTCGCACCGGCATTAGATATTATTCTCGGCAAATTCGCAACAACGGCGAATAACATTTTACTTTACGTTTACTTTACGCCGACTTCGTAACACTTTATGTTCTCATTCTTCGTGGCAACGGTCACGTATCGTTATCACGTACACCGGCGTTTACACCCTCAGCCGTTCGTGCGAGCCCGCACGCGGGACCCAGTCCGCGCGAGTGTCGGCGTTTCCGCACGTGCACGCTCGCATGCGTATCGCTGCGTGCACGGAATATGTACATGATAACATCGGAAAGCCGCTGCAAAAATCGGCGATTTGTGCACCTCTATGTGCACATACATATATACACACG